GCACTCCCACTGTAAAGGATACAAAGGATGCTCAAGCCTACATGTAAAGTGAATAAGAGAAGATTCTGTAACTTCGTTCTCTTCTTCATAAAATGTCTGGTGTAAATGTCAAATTGAGAAAAATGTCTCTTAAAATTTCCCAGAGCCCTGGGTGGTGTTATGAAATGTCTTGTGGTCTCAGATATTGTACTGTACAGTGTCCCACAGCCTTACTTCATAGAGTAAATACAAACAATGGAGACAAAATTAAACAAATGAAAACAAGGCAGAAGTGTTCAATACATTCAACACAGCATTTAGTGTCCTTATGTCTGTCTGTGTTATCTAGGAGTGTTAACAGACTGATCCTTGGACCAATCAAATCCACCTCTGTCCCTCCACGACCCATCGGACTGCTGGCCTGTCTCATGGCACAACCCCGAGATCGTCAGAGCTCATCCTGCGGAGACAAAGACGGACATCACACTTTTGTCTTTCACAGAACCGTTTGTGCTTGAATTAGATGTAAACAGACAGTAACCTTTGGTTTGTTGCGTAACCGTGGTGACAGATGTTGTAGTTGCTGCCTGATGGTGTCAGCGATCACGTTAGCGTCTCGGCTATTGATGTATTCCCCGCCACGTTCATACTGTCAACATAAACATGTAGAGTTTCACATGTGGAGAAATCCAAGATTCCTACACTGGATTCAAAAACTGTACAGCCACATCAGAGGTGTGTTTACTTACTGCTGAAGCTAGTACGACATTTTCTAATGCTCGCATGTCACATTAAAAGCATCCTACAGGGTGGCTTTTATTGTGAAGAACTCACAGAAAGTGCAGTGTTGGTCACCAAAGTTGGTTTACTATAACTGCTTCACAATAAAAGCACAGCTGTAATAAACACAGAAGTGCTCACAGAAATCTCACCAGCACAGCTGCGTATGCTGAGCGACTAATTTTACATAGTTAATCTGAGCGAGGAGGCTGGCTTGGATTGGCCTGCTGTGAGAACACAGAGGAGGCCCGTGTGTTCACAGCTGGGCTCAACTCAGCACATTTGAAGTGGGCTAAATCACCAAAAATGGCAAAAGTGAAATTAAACGTTGACCAGACTACTTCAGCAACGTATGCAGGGACATTATAGCATGAAAGACTGCCGACAGTTGATGCTGTTATGTGGTTGGTTTAATGCTGTGTCATTCTGATGTTCTGCTAAGATAACTAACTGGTGAAGCCCTTTATTTCTCTGAAAATGTTGCTGCTTCCTGAATTTGTCCTCACCCTCCTTGTTCCCAGGTGCGGGTAAAACCTGACGGTTGGGTAGGCGGTGATTCCAGCTGACTGACAGGTCTGATAGTGAGCCTGACAGTCGACCTTCCCTGCTCGAACCTCCCCTTTAAGAATCTGTCAGTCACACAGAAACATTGTTGTAAGAGCCTGAAAAACACCTTTAAAAACATAGATATATATGTACACACGTTTCATGTCTGTTGTCTCTAATAGGCTGCAGCTGACAGGAACCACAGACAGTAACAAAGAGGCTCACCCGAGCCAGGACCTCAAATTCTGGCGCAAAGGTTTGACAGGGTCCACACCAGGGGGCATAAAAATCCAGGACCCAGTCATCCTGACCCAACAGAACCAGAGACCTGAAGGAGTCTGGAGTCAGGTCCACCGACACTCTGGGTAAAGAACTGTATACACATGATGTTAGGACAACTACACATGTACTGCATCTGTAAGACTTCACGTTAACCAAAACAGTGATTCACTGATAAAGAGAACAACTAGAAAGAAAGAGAAAAGTACAGTCGATACAAAAGCAACATTAAGAAAGAGAAAAAGCAGTTGCATCTCACCTTAGTGCCCATGTCTTCAGTGAACGAGCATCTCTGTGCCAACCGTTGTAAGTCCTACGGAGACAGACACTGACAAATCAATATATCAACCAACAAGCTAAGTGAACAGGACAGTAACTCATTCTGACTTAACATTAAAATGATGCTAACTCTCCCATTCAGATGGATCTGTGTGTTCATGGAGCATGTGTTGGGAATACACAGGGACCTAATATAGAACCATAAGTAACTCTGCACCTAATCACTGCTTTATTGTTCTTAAACCAGCAAAAACTGATGTTTCTTTTTGTTTCTGGTCAGTTGGGAGCCAGCAAAAACAAGCTGTAAATGCAATATTGACATATCACCTTTCAAGTTGAACTGAATAGCAAACAGCTGCTTACTCACATACTCAGCAGACATGTCCACCAGATAATCTCTAACAGTGTTTTGTAGAGGTTTGTTTTATTGCTTAAAACAGCTGCTGTCAGAGCGCTAAGAGTGAACCAAATGGCAATATCAAAACAGTCAGCTGAAAGAATATAAAAAAACACAAGTACTGCAATTACCTTCATCAATACAAGTAAAATATAAAGACAAAAATATTGATTAGACCCAATAAGGCATAATTCAGGGTCATTCTGGCAAATGTTCTTCACTGTAATATTAAAGTCTAGCTACATACAACCATTAATTAATTAATTAATTAGATACTAGCAGAAAACCTAAAGACATGATTATTCTCAGGCAAGCGCTGAAGCAATCAAATGAGGCTTTACCCAAATAACAGCTTATGCAGTGATGCGATTACACCTGCAGCATTTAGTGTTAAGTCAGTCAGTGTGATTATGTGTGACACTGTTAGTGAAGTGTATAAACCTACACTACTGTAGTCTCTGCTAACACTGACAGCTGTAAATGGGCCTGTGACGGCCCTCACATATGGTCCAGTGCGGACTGAATCTGTGGCATTTCCTAACACATCCGGTTGTGCACAGTATATAACCCAATTTCTTGAGTAGGAGCACTTTGAAGTATGGTACATACATGTAGCGCTCTGGCTGCTGTGTGTTGCTGGGATACAATCGTATTTCAGGGTAGGCCCTCACACTCTGACTCTGACAGAGCGACTGAAACCGCTGACAATCAACTGAGCCCACCAGGATCTGACCCGACAGCATCTGGACAGGTAGAGACAGCAAAAGGGCACACATGTCAGATAATACTGATCAGTAGCAGCAGTAACGATACACACCTTCTGTCTTATGTTCAACCAGCCATGCTGACATTAGCCTCCTTGCTATATATAGTATATTTATAAGGGTTAAAGTTCATGTGAACTTGCCTGACATCCACCGATGTCCCCTCCATATTGGCAAAATGTTACACTGCCTTGTTTGTCATGCATGTTTTCAATAAAGCTTAATAATAATAATTAAAAAAACATCCACAGTGCCATTGTAAAAGTGGAATTTTTCAACTGCTCCTAGTTTTATGAATATATTTTCCCTCCTGCTGCTGCACTGTGACCAGAGGATGTGGAGAAAAACACAGGGTCTGAGGTTACTGCATGTCTGGGAACGTTCCTGTACAGGGACTCACTGTTTTACCTGACCAGGTCTAACCTACAAGCAGTCAGTCTGTGAAGCCACCACTGTGGTTAGTGGTCAGCTCATCAACGCTGGACTCCCCCGGAGCACAGTACCTGGTTGTTTTGCAGTGTTTCTGCCTCATGTGATGTGTTGCTGGTTAATGAGAAGATTCTAATGACCCATGATGTTATTGTCGGTGCTACATGATCTATTGGAATTATTTCACTACTTTGGGACTGTATGTGGTCATGTGGGGGAAGACGCAGCGACCACCAGTTGGATTTATCGACCTTGGAGGTACTTGACAGGAGTGATGTTTCTACTACTGCTGTAAGAAGGAGCGTTACCACAGGTCGTTCCTCCCCACAGCAATCAGACTGTACAACACATCACTGCAGTGATAAGTGAAATTATGATGGACTATGCATTAATCTACTGTGGTGCAATATTTCAGCTCCTGGGTGTGAAATGCATTGTAAATAGACTCATGTGTAATATCTTGTTCCTGATCTCTCTCAAATACTGTACATTGCCCGGCTTTAGGTATTTTTGAGTAGTTAGGGTTAGATAGATCCTCATGCCTGAAACACAGGTTTCTTTCCCCCATTGTGGGATCAATTGTTCTTGATTTCCTGGTTGTTTAGTCTCTACTGCTGTTCCTGATTCTCTCCAGTGCTGCTCTGCCCTGTTTTTAGGTGCCTTTGATTTGCTTATTTGTGCTGTGTAAAATGTAACGTTCTGATGATGCTACTTTTATAATCCTTGTGCGTATCGGTCCCAAAGCTTTGTTACCTTTATGTAACTTTTTAATTTAAGAGTAAGTGTTCTTTGTTACTACGCATTCGCCGTGCAGAGTGGCAGCAAGTTACAGCAGCTGTGTCCTCGTTCTGTTCTTTCCCGTGTTTCTATGAGGTTCTGTTCTTGTTTGTGCAATAAACTGCTTTCTTTAGTTCCCCTTCCTCTAGTCTGTCTGCTATTGGGGTCCACACCATACACACGCCGCCCGGCCATAACAGGGACTTAACGGTAAGTTTATAAAAAACATGTTGCGTGTTTGTTAATGCCTTGTTTCTGTAACGTTAGAGAATTGTTGTAAGGCTGGAGAAGTTACGATGTCTGCATTATGACTCTCAGTTATGTTTCTCAGTTACCTGCTTTGTTTAGTGTTACATCACTTTTCATCGGTACATATACCACTGTTTACCTGTCTATAGAGGAGAAATTATCATATTAATTATTGCCGTCGCAGTTCGTTGCGCTGTTCACTTGCAACAACATCAGCAGCAGGAGTTCACAAACTATCCTCTGGTTTTAAGGATGAAGCCGTTTGGATTTATTATTCTGAAAAAAATGACAAACTATTTGGAGTTCTGGGGGTGCCGAGCTAATCTAGAGGTACCCAAGATTAAACCCAAGATTACTGTAAATGGCTGGAAACGAGCAAATTGAGCAGCCATGGGCACTTTAAAGATACAGACAATTATTGATTTATTTCTGGGGTCACCTCCCAGCCCTAGTCTCAGTATGGTGTGTACAAAGTAACTGTAGCCACTACACTGTGCACTGTACCCTGGCCATGCGTCTCCACTCTGGCATCAGCGCCTGACAGGGACCACACCATGGAGCGTAGAAATCCACCGCCCAGATCTGCCCTTCAGCTCGACCTGCAACCAGCAGAGGGCAGGAGAAAACAGAGGACAGAAATGTTACCTGCGCAGTAACAAGAGTAACAGGGGTAGAACTAGAAAGTACAGCTATCAAGTTAGAGAAGAGTTTAACAACCACACAAAAATGTGACCTCTAACCATCCTCCTGTCCTCCGGGCTATTTCTGAACAAAGAGTAGTATTTTCAACCAAAGATTCAGTGTTATTGTAGTGTTGCTCTCATTACTCCACAATATATATTGTGTGTTTTAGTGGTAACAGTACTTATGATTTTACACAATCGGTTGAATTTAGTCTTTCTGTGTAATCAGCCCCAAATCTAGATGTCAGTACCAGATCTGTGGTGTTAGGACTAGCTTTACCTTTGACTTTCTCAGTGAAGCTGGAAGGATCCAGGACCACCACAGACGGATTGACCAGATCCTGGAGAGATGGAGAAAAGCCATTTTGTCCTGAACACAGTCAGACCACAGTGATGCCAAGGTGTCTGAGCAGCACAGAGGGCGAAGACAAAAACCAGCAGAGAGCCGTTTCCTCTTCTGTGCTGTTTGTTACCTGATAAGTCTTATCATTCATTTGTGGGGGTTGTGTATATTATGTGGTATCATTGTGTTTAAGCAGCATTTTAAGCAGTACTACCTGTATGAACTCCAGGATGCCATCAGCTGAATGTTGTCCTTCGTATTCATGAACAGAAGAACCATTGAAAATCTTCGTCGTCGGATACGCCTGAATGTTATACTGATACGCAGAGGGAAAGAAAAGTGATCAACCTGTCTGTGCTATAGTATGTACCCATCTCCACCTTATAATTAATGGTACAATATTATGCATGCTAGTATGTGTTTACCATGGAGCAGAGGCTGTGGTGAATGGTACAGTCCAAAGTGCCAAATTTCATCTGTCCAGCCAAATGGATGGACGCTTTTCTCAATTCAGGCAGTAAAGCTCGGCACGGAGGACACCACTGCACAGGAAGGTAACATTTTAGTAGGTCATGTCACAAACGTCGGCTTTAATGTATGGCCAGCTCTTTGTTACAGCCGGAGGACAAAAAACCCCGTTCCACTCATGACAGGTGAAAGAAAAAGCAACACACAGAGTCCCAGTGAGGTGCTGGGCCACCATGTGCCACCAGAACACCTTCACCTTGGCACTGACTCTCCAAGTCTCTGGACTCTCCTGGAGGGATGAACACCGTTCTTCCAGCAGATGTTCCCTCATGTGGTGTTTTGATGATGGTGGTGGAGACGCTGTCTAACAAGTCCCTCCAACATCTCCCATTAGCTATTCAACTGGACTGAGACCTGGTGACCGGGAAGGCCACAGCGTCTGATTCACATCCTGGTCATCCTCATCAGACCAGTCAGTGACCCCCTCCTGTCCTGTGGACGGGGGCACTGTCACCCTGGAGGAGACTGCTCTTTTCACTGATCACCCATCTGTACAAAGTTTCAGGCTCTTTCTTGACTCATCTCTGAAGCTTATAGGCACGTTTAGCATTAAAAACACAGGACTTTACATGCTCTGCCCTGAGTGCAGTTAACTCCAGCTGCCACTGTACTATAAAGCTGTGCAACAGTAGCTCACTCCTGCCTGCCTTGCAGCATCTGTCACTGTTTGTGTTACAGGTGTGACACCATCACCAACCCTGAAGGTAAACAGGGAGCACAGCCAGGCTGAGTCTTCAAATGGCAAGAGTGTGACATATAAAACAATCTTAGGTTTAGTCACTCTTATCAGTAATGACGTGGCAGCTCACCTGTTTACTTATGAGCAGTAAGGTGTACTATGAGATATTAGCTCCTGTTCCTGTGCTTCCATGGTCACAAAAAACCACAGGTCTGGTTCAACCACTGAACGATATCAAGTCAGAGATTGGTGTCTACGCTTCTAAGATGACTGGATATGTATTTTGATATCTGGTCCACCATTTTTAAGGGAAAGTGGATGGACTGACACAGATGAAGCACGTGTCTCCATGGGTAAATCAATTGCAAACACATACCCCACACACACAGAGTTAGTGACAGTGGTACAGTGGGTAGAGCAGTCATCTCCCAACCAGAAGGTTGAAGGTTCGAATCTCGGTGCTGGCAGTCCACGTGTCAAAGTGTCCTTGGGCAAGACACTGAACCCCCCCCATTGCCCCCGATGGTTAGAGCCATCGGTTGAGGTGGTGCCACAGATGGCGCCATCGGTTCTGTACCGGAAACAAATTCCTTGTGTGTAACATACTTGGCCAATAAATAATATTTATAAAGCACTTTCCAGCTCAAGGAGCACAAAGTGCTAGAGCTGACTTGAAAGGTACCAGCTCAGTTATAGAGCGTACATCTAAGGATAAGGAGTTCCACAATCTAGGGCCATACACGGCAAAAGCGCGACCTCCCCATTTCTTATAATGTGAAGAAGGGACAACAAGGGCGAGGTGGCCTGACGACCGTAGAGTTCTACGAGGGACATATCTGGACAGGAGGTCCGATAAGTACACAGGGGCAAGGCTGTGTACGGCTTTGAAAACATAGAGCAAGATCTTGAACTCCACTCTCCATTTTACAGGTAGCCAATGGAGAGACACAAAGACTGGGGTGATGCCGACGAGTGTTTGTGAGCAAACGGGCAGCTGCATTATAGACCAGCTGAAGCCTAGACAATGACGGGGACAAGCCGGCATAGAGGGCGTTACATTAATCAAGCCGGGAGGTCACAAAGGCATGAATGGCTTTCTCTAAATCAGTACAAGACAAGAATGGTTTTACCTTAGCTAACAATCTTAACTGGTAGAAGCTCATTTTTACCATGGACTTAATCTATCAAAGTTAAAATTTGCGTCAAATATAAAGGTGATTATCCTTATCCTTTTGTCTGCTGATCTCAGTAACAGAACTACTGTAAATATCATCATCATGTAACAATGGAGTCACAACCTGAGCAGGAGAAACAAGTCTACACCAGACTGTGTGCATGTTTCACTCAGTCCTCTGATTAAACGTAGCTGGTTACAAACCGGAGCGAAGAAGTCGACCAGCCAAGGCTCCTTTCTGTCCGAAGGGAAGTTGTCAGGCCTCAGTGTTGTCACATAGGCCCGGACACTGTCCCTCGCAAACCCCACGATGTTGTACAACACATCTTTACCTATAAACGGACACAAGTTCCAGACAGATTGAGGCTGATTAGTTCATCGATTCATCAATTAGTGAATTAACAAAACTAAAATGAAACTTTGTCATTGAAGTCAATTTTAACCAAAATGCCAGAAGCTTCTCAAATGGCAACACGTGTTGTTTCGCTTAGTCTCATGTGATAGAAACCTGAATGCAGTATCTTTAAGTGTTGAACTGCTGATCAAACAAAAAAGATCTGAAGATTTCACCTTTAAGATCAAACGACTGGTTAGTTAATTAAGAAAATAGCAGCCAAATTAATAATTAAAACAACTGTGAGGCTGGAAAACATTTTATAAAATCTGAATCCACATCCATGAGAATGATCAAATCCCCAGGATGAAGACATCGGTTAGTGAAAAAATGTCCTGTCTTTGTTTCACTCCACAGGTAAGCTACAGCACTGACCGTGGTGGATCTCAAAGTCATGGATTCCCAGTCCTTTGAAGACGGCCACACAACGTTTGTGGATGTAGAGCGACTGACACAACTCTGAATCTGCTGTACAGTCTACTCTGCCAACCTGAAGACACAGTCAGACAGTCAGTCAGTCAGACACAGAGGCAGGCACACAGACTGGGACATGCAGACAGACAGGCACCTGTATGTGGTCACTTCTGAGGAAAGCTTGCAGCTTCTTGTACTCGTTGGAGGAGGTGCTTCTGTCTCCAAAGGTAAAACTGACCAGCCAGCGATGACGGGCCAGTTTCCTCTGGAGAAAAGAAGGTGCATATAATCAAAAGCTACTATAGTTTAACATGTACTGTAGTGTGATTTACACCTGAGAGCTGTAGAGTATATCTGAGTATTTTTAGTGTGTGTACCTGGAAGGTGTCAGTGGTCAGCAGCTCCAGATCAGGCAGATGGCTGATGACCTGACTGTAAATCTCTTTACTGTCCAGAGTATTCAGCCACTGCAACACATGCACACTGAGTCAGCACTGTAGTACTACAACAGACAGTACTACACTGTCCACATGTAAGGTGTTCTGTACCAGTACGCTGCCCTGCTGATCCAAAGAACTTCCAGGTGGGAACAAGGCAGTCGCTCCACTGGTCACCTGATGAATAACAGAAGGATTACACATTAGTTTACACATTACCATACTAGTACTGCAAAAAATAATACACTACTACTGCTACGACTACTACTACTGAGATCAGAAACAAAAACCTGGCTCACAAAAACGATCGGGGGGGACCGAAGAGCAACATCCAAGTAGTAGTAGTAGTAGTAGAAGTAGGTAGTACTCAGTGTTGCCAAGTCTTACCTGGAAGCTGGCACAGAGCTCTTTCTGTGTGGTGCAGTCCATCCATCCCACCTTAACCAGACCATCCTGCATGCACGCACACAGCTCAGAAATTCTTTGTATGATTTCGACCAAACCAGTAGAACTCATTGTCAGTAAAAATAGTAATCCTAATACAAATACTGCTTGAATAATTACTGCTAAAAGCACAGTTTCCTCACAAGACTAGTTGGTGCAGGTGCTGTGTGTCAAACTGACACTCTGTAATCTTGGATGTACTTTACTCACTGAAGTGATACAAGTAGAAAAATACTACAAAGGGATTCTCATGGTTTGTAAGGTATTGTGTATTGTTATCCGTCACCTTATCTACCTTGTGCTGACAAGTCAGATACACACATATTTCTCAAAATGTCCAACTATACCATTAAACACAAACCCAGCTGGTCAACATCTACCGGTGAGTTTGTACCTCAGACATTCATTGCTGAGTTTGCAAAAACTCAACACGTGTAAAAACTCCAAAGGTTAAGTGTCAATTACCCAACACAGCAACATGCTGTTTTAATTACTAATTAAGCCAAGAATGTGTGGCCCTGATTGATCAGAGGAGTCAGATGTTTGTCAGGACTATGCAGTCGGGTTCAGCTGCAAACAGCTGTGGGAAACCCTGTGATAATACTGTGACTGTGTTCTCACCAGCATTCCTGATAGCTTCTGTCTTGTTATTGGCTGAAAGAGGGCCGGATAAACAGACAGCACATTAGTAGCACATGACTGAGTAGACAAGATCGACCGGTGTCCTCTGTGGTAGAAAATGTGTACATTCACATGTCTGCCTCTTCTCACAAACATGTAGAGACACAGTCACAGGTGTGATGATGTGATGTACAACATTTATACGTATGCATGAGTGATGTGCAGAGTATAACTGAATGTTTCCACTGACAATCACACTTTCAGGCCTAAACACATGCGTATTACCTCCAGTGTCGGAGCAGAAGGTGATCAGCCAGCCGAGCCCTGCTGAGAATGCACTCTCTATCTCGCTGAACACGTTACCTTAAAAAAAAAAAAACACACACACAACCACAGATTAGATCACACAGAGTGATATAAACTAGCCTTATCAGCAAACTGAATTGCTGGAAATTTGTCAGCACAGTGATTCAGATGTCTGGGCCCAAGCTAAACATAACCATAAGTGATGGTGCTTTACCTTGCCAGAGCTGAGTGACAGTTGTTGTGATAAACTGCATGGAGAAGCGGACCAAGTTGTCTTTAGTACGCTCCCCATTAAACTTCTCTGGTCTCTACAAACAGACAAAGTGTTAGTGATAACTGAACCAGACTGCTCTGATGCCAAGACGTCAGGGCAGTTTTATACAGCCTGAAGACGTGTAACGTACATGATGGACAAGAAAAGAAAAGCAGGCGACACAGTCTGTCTCTGGGGTTCACTGTCGGTGTATCCACTGAGTCTTTGGTGCCTGTGAGTAAAGGTCATGTTCTAGACAATCTTACAGTAAAATTCATGTTGGAGCCAATCCCAGCTGACACTGGGCCAGAGGCAGGGTCCACCCTGGACAGGTTGCCAGTCTGTCACAGAGCTGACACATAGACAAGCAGCCACACACACACACACACCCATTCATACAGTCAATGTAGCGTCACCAGTCAACCTAAACTGCATGTCTCTGGACTGTGGGAGGAAGCCGGAGCACACACAGAAAGGCCCCAGGTCAGCCGGGGCTCAAACCCAGACCCTTCTTACTGTGAGGCAACAGTGCTAATCACTGTTCCACCCTAAATTCTACACTTATTTTTTTATATTATAGTTGATAAACAACCTGAAGGTGTTTTTTCAGCATTTACCGAGAGAAAGAGATGGACAGAGTAACATCTGCTGTGATTCTATTCATAATAAACATTGTCTGGACTGGAAATACAACAGATATATAAACCTAATATAAAGTGAGAAACAGTTAAGATGTTGTGGGATGACAAATTCATGAACACAGTGTTTCCACTTTTCTGAGCGGCGCACCACCATGCCAAAATATTTGCCGCCACAGAAAAAAAACACTGCAAACCCTTGAAGCAATCAGAAGAAAATGAAGACAGTTAACTTTAACCACTATCCTGAGCTGAACTTCACCTGGACCAGCAGCATACTGATGAGCTGGCACAAGATGAGCTTGCAGGTTACGCTGATTTTATTCATGTAAACATGGAGGTTGTTTTCATGCTGAATTTACATACATTCTTGTTTTGTTTGGCTAAAAGATGCTTAAATCATTTAGATTTCACTTTACTGACTGTGGTCCTTCAGGATGGATTAAGTCAGCTGACTGTAGCTAACTCATAGCAGACCTAGAGATCCCATCTACGAGAGCGACACACTGAACAATGACTCTGCACTGTGATCTCAGCTCTTGGTTCGGGAGCTAACGCTAACAGCTGTCAGCAGATAACACAGACAGTACAGATGATTCAATTTCTGTCCTGTCTGCTCAGTCTGAACACTAAAGTGGATGTTTGGACGTAGTTGAAGCATCTGCTACTGTATGTGGCTGTGTGGGATAGTTTTTTTTTTTATTAACTTATTGATGGATATATCTTTTATTGATAATGGGTGTGATGCTACCAACATGGTGCATTTACCCAAAATTCAACACAGCGTGATGTTAACTTTATGTTCGCTCAAAGAGTGAACAGTCTGTGAACTCACCTGTCCTGCTCTGTATATAAACAAGCTGGGGTAGCTGTTGATGCCTTTCCTCCTGCACAGGTGGTTGTTGTCTCCACAGTTCACCGCTCCGATCCTGATCACTCCGTCCATCTCCTTGGCAAACTCCCTCCACTGAGAGGCAGATGAGAAGGAGATAGGATAGACAGGTGCTGGTTTACTCACGCTCAGTAATAATCGACTACTGCAGCTCAGGTGTATGTTGAGTGCTGAGTGTGTTTAGTTTGTGTCTAGCATGTGTGTGAGTGGGTTTATTGTTGTCAGAGTTATCTCACCGTTGGAGCCAGCTGGTGACAGTGTGAACACCGTGGGAAATAGAAGTTGATGAACCAGATCTCTCCAGAGTCTACTGCTGCCTCTGTGACACACACAAACACACCAATCACTATCTGTCCACTCTCAAATCTCCTATTCCACATATAACCCTCATATCCATGCTGGCACTGCACATGAAGACTTAAGTGATGGCTAAAGTTAAGGAGAGACAAATATAATTATTTTATCATTAGAAATAAAGTTTGGATCAAGTCTGCTGTTCTGCTCTTCACTGAGATTACAAATCCAATTACAGCAAAAATAAATAAACTACAGACTCACAAAAGTTATAGTTGCACTGAAAAGGTTTATTCACCCTAGTTGTTCTCAGATTACTGCATATGACCACATTTTGAGCTGCACTCACTTGCTACAAAGTTAAATTCAAAGTTGATCTGTGGGTAAGAAAAGAAGACCAGGTAGAAAATAGTCACTCTCACCAAAATCTCCACTGTCCAACGTGATGATCTCCAAGTCATCATCATAGATACCTGGACAGAACAAAAAAAAAACTAAATATTTCCATGTTCTCTTATGGTTTCAATACTAACTGCATAAACAAGACCGATGCGTTTTCTTGTATCTCCCTCATGGTTTGCATGTACAGCATGGAGCCTTACCGAAGTCATAGCGGTAGTAGTTCCAGCTCTCGTAGCGTCCTCCCTGCTGCTCGTCCAGTCCCTTTTCCCCATATTTGTCATATTTCTTCCTGAGGTCTTCATCCTTCAAAACCTCATATGCTCGATTCACCTGCAGGAACTTCTCATGGGCTGAGGGGTCACCCTAAAACAAAACATTTTCAGTAACATTTAGGTTTTTGTGTACAGTGAAGTGGTCCTGTCTCAGTTCATGGTTTGGTGTCTCTAACTAACTCACAGGGTTTTTGTCGGGGTGCATGGTGAGCGCCAGCTGCTTGAAGGCTCGTCGTATCTCTCTCGTCGTGGCCTCCCTGCTAACTCCCAGCAGATCATAGTAGTCTCGGGTCTCTGCCCAAACCGCCAACAGCAAGATGGGGAGCAGCAGCAGCAACAGCCTGAGCTGGACAGGACGGGGCCGCTGAACCCCGAGGACAACCCTGTACCCCATCACCGGACCTCCCAGTACAACCACAATAACCAGATAGCACCAGAGAAACTGGAACATACAGGAACAAAAATTATTCCTTACGTTCTGTGAGGAACTGGTAGTAGATGACCAGTCCACAGAGCCATGTCAGTTTAATCACAGAATATGCAAACTGTACAATCAACAGTGGGTAGCCAGTACAGCACATTTTGATTCTCGTCATTAATGGTAAATAATACAAAACACATGTTAACATATGAATTAACACTTTTCTAGTGATTCACAACAATATTTTATAATAATTCCTATAATAAAGTCGAAACATGGCGCCCACCGAGGCAGACATGTTTGCGCGTTCCACTCTCGAATGCCGGCGTTTTCTTCGTTTTCTTCTTTTTTGTGTTTTTTTACTTTTTCTGCAGTGCACACGTCATGCACTGCTAACATACAACAGATAGGCATTGCTGGATATCGCCAACTCACACAGCCACTGGGAATTTACTGGTTTCATACCACCGGAGCTACAACTCATTGTCCACTCCCGCAACAACAACAACAACGACGATGACAACCACCATCACCCTCAGGGAGCCCCCAAAGCACCAGGCACAAGCGAGCAGGCTGAAAGCAGGAAAGCAACCCCGAGACGGAGATGCAATGAGGGCAAACGAGGGGGACTCCATGCTAGGCTAAAAGCTTGCGCTACTCGACCGCCATTACCCAGCCTCTTCCTAGCTAACATGCAGTCTCTGGAAAACAAACTGGACGAGCTAAGGGCTAGGATAACAGCACAACAGGAAATCAGAGAATGCTGTGCTCTAATTTTCACTGAGACTTGGCTTTCTGACAGAGTCCTAGAGTCAACGATTCAGCTACAAACACATTGTGTACATCAAAGCGATCGCACTGCTGGTTCGGGGAAGGTAAAAGAAGGTGGTGTGTGTGTTTATAAGTAACTCATGGTGTGGAGATGTACGGACTGTTTATAAGCACTGTTCGCCAGAGGTAGAGTTTTTATTGCTGAAATGCTGGCCCTATTATCTAGCCAGAGAGCATAGTGCTGTGTTTCTGGCTGCTGTGTATGTTAGCCCAAGAGCTAATCCCTCTGCGGCTCTCAGTA